GGGATTGGGTCTAGAGGGCATGTTGTAGGATGGCTGGAGAGGAGAAGTTTTGATACTTCTGCCTCAGTGAGGGGACAGAAGGAGAAGATGGGAGTTTTAGCAGTGGGTGTGGTTGGTTTGAGGTCCTGTGTGTGAGGCTGAGAATTGACTACTGATTGTTATAGTTTTGTCTGTGAAGAATGTGGCGAAATCATCAGCTGTTATAGAAGTGGTGGGAGATGGTGGAGGGGGACAGAGGAGAGTATTAAATGTTTTGAAGAGATTACGCGTGTCTGGAGTGCTGTTGATCTTGTTGTGTAAATATGAAGATTTGGCAGTATGGACTTCAGCTATAGGCTATTGGCTATCGAAACTACAGTTCGCACTTAAGTGCAGGAAGAGAGCAATGCAAATAACACAGGCTTCTTCTTAGCCGACGGCAATTATTATAATTAATAATTCATTTCAGAGACATTTCAGAGAAAAAAGTCTGAATAGCAAGATGAATAGAAATTCATAATTGCAAGGAAAAAGTCAGAATTGTGTGAAGTTGCTGTTACCTTTTATTATTTTTTTTCAGTGGCAGCAACAGGCTCCCATACAAATCTTACATACAATGTGTAATCGACAACAAAACATACAGAACATATCATAAATATAAATATTAACAGCGAGCTGTAGTTAACCCTTCTCCACACTCTATCAGGAGAGTACTGTACATGTGACACGACATGGTACATTATGTCACATATAGAGCGCTGCGGGACGGATTCATGCATACATGCATGACTGTCAGCAGATGGCATAAAAATAGCCCAGCGTCTCTCTCTCTGCCACTCAGAGGTGCGTTTGGGTGAGGAAGTCACACTTGACTTGTTTCTGTCACATCGGTGGATCACCGAAGGGCTGCGTCTGCGCTCTATCTCTGCCAGGCCTGCAGGGACCGCAGATGTGCTGGAGAACAGGTGGACACGGCAGCATCCCAACTTCTGCAAGACGCCATAAACCTTAAATGCACTCTAAGGCAAGAACGAGAGAGATGATTGAGGAGCTGTCAAGGCAGCACACGTCTTCATGAATCTCCTCAACTTGACGCACTCTGAAAGGCTTTTTTAAGGAGTGTTAAACACAACATAGATGGATGTTCTTGACATCAGGAGACACATACTGCACAGATGGGTTTGTGAACTACATACAGCTGCCACTTCGGTACATAAAACACATATGCACATGGTAAAAACACAGACTCTACACTTGTATAACACTTTTTTCCACTGATCTACATGGTTTCGCACACCAAAAAGTCATAATTTAGTTTGTATTATAAATCAATATATTAATTATCTATATTAATATTTTATTTTATGTCAGTTAATGTATACTTTATTTAAAGTAATGACTTTTTGTTTGTTTGTTTGTTTGTTTGTTTTAGTTTTAGTTAACGATAATGACCATATAATATAGTGAGGATATGGAGCTCATACTTGGGGAAAAAAAAACATCACATTTTTATTTAGAGGCCCAAACGGAGCTAAAATATATTTATACAGTGTACTAGGTTATAAAGAATACATTAAACTAAATGCAGTATATAGTGTGTGCTATT